CAAAGATGCCACAGGACCTTCTGTTGCTTTTTACAGATTCAGACTAACACGGCTACCCCTCTGATACTAAAAAAACAAACAGAAGTACTGGGAGCATAAGCTTTCATGGGTAAGAACCTCATTTCTTCAGATTCACTTGCATCTGAAGAAGTGAGGTTCTTACCCACGAAAGCTTATGCTCCCAGTACTTCTGTTAGTCTCAAAGGTGCCACAGGACCCTCTGTTGCTTTTTTACAGATTAAGAGTAACACGGCTACCCCTCTGATACTAAAAAAACAAAGTTAATTCAGGGGGACAATCATAAAGGGAAACATATCTACTTTTCTAATGTTACTAATGGGAGTAATGATAAAAATATTATTATTCACTATACTTTCTACTTTCAATGTGAGTATATAAGGAACCTGTTTGTTCTGTCCCATAAGCTAAAGCAACTGCCTATCCTACCTCCTTTCCATTAATTTCTAGTGACCAGATTTTGTATGCTAAACTGTTCTGCCCTTTTTTGCAAATATTTTTTTAAAAGACCATTTAAGGTGGATAGATGCAAAGTATTATATATGACATTGCCTGTGACTTGTGGCATTCCATTGATGTCTGTGGGAGTTTGGTTCTCATATTGAGAACTTTGGTTCTAATTTCTCTATTGCACCATCAGTCTGTAAAGTAAAGAATGGTCTAGTGGTTCGCAATCTGAATGCCTTGGTCCTGTTTTTGGTTCTGCCAGATTCCTTATTTGACTTTGGGTAATAATGTAATTTCTCTGTGACTCAGCTGACTTATTATTATAATTAATAGACTAATACCTACCCTAGAGGGATGTTGTGAGGATTAATTGATTCATGTTTATGCTTTCTGCAGATGAAAGGTGCTATCTAAGTGTGAAGCAGAGAGAAGTTTAAAGTCAGAGTTAAATATTATAGTCTGCTATGTACAGTATTATATATGGTTTATTTCACTATAGACAAAGCAAGTACTGTACAAGAGCTGTGTTTTATGTATTCAAGCAATTTCATAGGTGGATTTCTAAATATAAA